CCTACCGCGGCCTATGTCTTAGCAATCGGGCAAGGCAAAGGAAAGAAGAGGAAGAGCCCTTCGAAGGGTACCAAGGGAAAGTCCCTTGATGGATCCTCTTCAAGTGGAACCAAGAAAGGTTTTTTCACTCCTTCTGCTAACCCTAAAGAGGATGAATGCTTCTATTGCCATGAAAAGTCGTACCGGAAGCGAAACTGCCCAAAGTACCTGCAAGATGTTAAGGATGGGAAAGTAAAACCCAACCATGCAGGTATTTACACTATATTGTCTAATAACTCACCCTATTCTAATTCTTGGGTCCTTGATACAGGTTGTGGTATTCACATATGTTCTGATTTGCATGGACTAAGAAGAAGTGAGAATGTGGAGCATGGGAAGATAAACTTGATCATGGGGAATAGGAAAGCTTCACATGTCACCAAGATTGGAGTTTATTCTTTATTGCTAAGTAGTGGGTTAGTGTTAGATTTGAATAAGTGTTGTTACTCGTCTGAAATGGCGAGAAATATTATTTCCTTTCATGGTATGTACAAACAAGGTTTTACCTTTTCGTTTGATAATGAATGTGGTGGTATTAATTCTTTCTTTAATAATGTTCTTTATTTTAAAGCATTACCTTGTGATGGTGTGTATGAAACTGTGTCGGTTGTTGATAACCTAGGAAATAATGTATTGTGTATCGATTCCTCCACTAGCTTGGATAAAGCATCATTATGGAATTGTCGTCTTGGACATGTAAGCAAGATTGCCAACTCCAAAAGGATGGAGTCTTGGAGTCATTTGACCTAAAGTCAGATGATAGTTGTGAATCTTGTTTGCTTGGGAAAATGACAAAGTCACCCATCACTGGTACTTGTGCTAGGGGTGAGGGTTTGTTGGACCTCATACATACTGATGTGTGTGGACCCTTCAGAACCGCCACAAGAGATGCTAACCGCTTCTATGTGACTTTTACTGATGATTATAGTAGATATGGATATGTCTACTTAATCAAGCATAAGTCAGAAACCTTTAAAAAGTTCAAGGAGCTTAAACAGGAAGTGGAGAATCAGTTGGGTAGGAACATTAAGATGCTTCGATCCGATCGAGGTGGTGAGTATCTTAGTACAGAGTTCCTTGACTGTCTTAAGGAATGTGGGATTGTCTCACAATTGAAACCTCCCAGGACACCATAGTTGAATGGTGTGGCTGAGAGGCGTAATCGAACCTTGTTGGATATGGTTCGTTCCATGATGAGTCGAGCTTCGCTACCAATCTCATTTTGGGGGTATGCCTTAGAGACTGCCGCCCATATCCTTAATCTAGTCCCTACCAAAAAGGTTGCCAAAACACCTCATGAGATGTGGACTGGAAAAGTTCCCAATCTGGACCACATCAAGATTTGAGGTTGCGAGGCTTTCGTGAGGCACGAGACTCACGATAAGCTCAAACCTCGAAGTGAGAGGTGTATTTTCATCGGCTACCCACAGAGATCCTTTGGTTACCTCTTCTACAGACCCAGCGATAATGTGGTCTTTGTAGCAAGCAGAGGAGTCTTTCGCGAGAGAGAGTTCAAGCCAAGGAAACAGTGGGAGGCAAATTGACCTTGAAGAAATTCAAGAGTCAAGTGGTGAAGGAACCTGAAACCCTAACAATCAACCTGAGGAGGAAACTCCTATTGATCCGACAGATGAGTATGTACCTCTGAGGCGTTCCACGAGAGTTAGGAATGCACCTGAGCATTACTATGGTTTCCATATTACTGCGGAAGGTGATACACTTATCAGTGATAGCACACTGGTAGGTCTGGCTGAACCTAACAGCTACACGAAAGCCATGGCGGGCCCTGAGGCTGCTAAATGGAAAGAGGCTATGGACAGCGAGATACAGTCCATGTTGACAATCAAGTTTGGAACTTGGTTGACAATGTACCAGGTCGTAAGACAGTCGGGTACAAATGGATCTTCAAGAAGAAGACCGACATGGATGGTAATGTACACACTTATAAGGCGCGACTGGTTGCAAAGGGCTTTTCTCAAACTCCGGGAGTTGATTATGATGAGACCTTTTCACCAGTAGCAAAGATTAAGTCTATTAGGGTTATGTTAGCCATTGCTGCATTTCATGACTATGAAATATGGAAAATGGATGTCAAAACCTCTTTCCTTAATGGAAGGTTAGCTGAGGATGTTTACATGAGTCAGCCAGAGGGTTTTGTCAGTACAGAGTACCTTAATAGAGTGTGTAAGCTTGAGAAATCCATCTATGGATTGAAACAAGCACCTCACAGATGGAATCTTTGTTTCGATGAGAAAGTCAAAGAGTTTGGCTTTTCGAGGAGCGAAGATGAATCTTGTGTATATGTCAAGGCTAGTGGGAGTATAGTTAGCTTTTTGGTATTGTATGTGGATGACATACTACTCATAGGAAATGACATCCCAACCCTACAGGAAGTGAAGTCCTGGCTTGGGAAGTGTTTCGCTATGAAGGACCTTGGAGAAGCTTCCTATATCCTAGGGATAAGGATTTTGAGAGACAGGAGTAAAAGACTAAATGGACTTAGTCAAAGCACCTATGTGGATAAAGTGTTGAAACGATTCAACATGCAAAACTCCAACAAAAGGTGAGTTACCGATCCAGAGTAGCGCCAGACTGAGTAAGACTTAGAGCCCGAGTACAGAGGCTGAGATAGCAGAGATGAGTCGAGTTCCGCATGCTTCCGCTGTAGGCTCGCTCATGTATGCTATGACTTGTACTCGTCCTGATGTGGCCTTTGCATTGAGCATGGTCAGCAGATATCAGGGGAATCCTGGCAAGGATCACTGGACTGCGCTAAAGAACATTCTCAAGTATCTAAGGAGGACTAAGGACTGGGTCCTTACCCTCGGTGGGAGTGATGACTTGAGAGTAGTAGGGTATAGTGATGCTAGCTTCCAAACTGATAGGGATAATTTCTGCTCTCAGTCAGGCTGGGTCTTAACCTTAAACGGAGGAGCAATTTCTTGGAAAAGTTCCAAGCAGGAGACAGTGGCTGATTCAACTTGCGAATCAGAGTATATAGCGGCAAGCGAGGCAGCAAAGGAGGCTATATGGCTAAAGAACTTCATTGGAGACCTTGGGGTTGTACCAGCTATAAAGGAGCCTATGGAGATTTTATGTGATAGTGAAAGTGAAGTTGCCTTAGCCAAGGAACCAAGGGATCATGGGAGATCCAGGCACATCGACAGAAAATACCATTTCATCAGACATCGAATAGAAGAAGGACTCCTCGTCACAAAGAGGGTATCATCGGATGAGAACCCAACAGATCCCCTCATGAAGGGACTGGGTAGGGTTAAGCATCTCCATCATGCGAGGCGCATAGGGCTGAAGGATGATATTAGTTTTAGTAGTTAGATAGCTTTGAAATTTGTAAAGTGTAATTGACATTTGATGATAAATAAAAGATGTTGTTTATTTATAAGTAAAGTGTTGCTATCTTCTGTCAATCGTTTACTATCATTTCATTTTGCATGTTTTGACTTCCAGAATAATTATGTTATGGTATATCATATTATTCAAATTCTCCACAGTCGGTCATATGTTGGAAGTAGATATGAATCAAGACTGTCATGAAGCTGGCTTGTAGATGTCTAAAGTGTTGGACATAGCAAGAGTTGCTACAACATTCATTAGTGCTAATAAGTTCTGAGTATTGGATTCAACCCACGCTCACTTGTATCACTTCATGGAATTTATCTCGAGTGATCGTGAGATGGTAATATCATATAAGTCTTCAAACCTAGAGATATGAGTTGTTGACTATGAGTTGGTTATACATTGATTGTACGAAAACGCATTGGTAACTCGATGTTATAAAATGTGCCTTTGTGTATAATTCAACAAGTAGTAGAACAAGAATATGAGTCGAAGTTTATCTGTTCCTTCTTGGATTAGAAGCGATATCTGGGCCCCTCAATGATTTTGTTGTGACCTATGTACCGGGCCCGGTCAGAACTAAATTGATGTGTTCAATTAAGTTCTATGTCAAACAAATCGGAAATCGGGAAACAAACTGTTGGACAATAAGTAAGACATTGTTCCATGTATTTGTCCGGCTGATATCTAGAACATAGGATTATATGATCCCTTATCTAAAATGGCGCTTTATAGTTCAACAGAGTTTTAAGAGCTACGATTGTCGGTCGGTTCCTAAGGTCATAATTGTAACTATAGTTATTAGACTTATCCAAGTGGGAGACTGTTGGATAAGGTGTCTAAGTCCATAACTATATTTGAGATGTACTTGACCCGACCCGGCATGGTCCATTTGGGTTGCACTTCACCCGAACAATTTATATGGTTAATCTTTTGAGAATAGTATAAGTTATGATTTATTAATATATTATAAGTTCTAATATATTAATAAGAAATCATATTATTTAATTAGTATTGATCTAAAATTAATTTAGAATTAATTTCGTGATCAAAAGTGTGACTAATTAAATATGGACTCTTGTATTTATATAGTGTGGGCTAATGCTTATTTAGAATGGGCTAGGCTTGCATGGTAAGTCCATGGATAGTCCATGGATCTCATGGAAATGAAAGGTCATGGGTATTAGGGTTTACATGGATGTAACCCTAATCCACCACACTATATAAAGGAGTCCTTGGCACTTGAAATTGCACTAGTTTTTTGTGTGAGAACTAAGGGTGGCCGATTTCTAGAAGTGTTCTACTATTCTCTCAAGTTTCCAAGGTTTGTAGTGATTTGTGACTTCCATTTGAGGCATCCACACTATTGGTGCTAGGCTCTCAAACTCTAGTCAATCAACCACTACTAAAAGGTATGTAACTCTACTAGCTTATTAAGTTTCAAAGTTCCCCATGCCATGCTAGTTAGGTTAAGAGCCTTGGAAAAGCAAATTTGTATGTATCTTAGTAAAACATAGATCCAAGGTTTCTAGGGTTGCATGCACACCTTAGGAGTGTTAGAATGCTCAAAACCCATCAGTTATATCATAAGTAATGTCTCTAAAATGTTGTTGCTTTTACGTATATGATTTCTGTTATGCATAAAAAATATTCATTACTTTCTCGTTGAAATCTGACATGTGTATTCTTTTTCAAATTAAATAGTTGTACCCAACTTGGAGAAACCATCCACTTCTGATGCTCCTTCCAACAAGAAGATTGAAAATGCCAACTTGAAGTCAAATGCTAAATCTTCCAACAAATCACCACCATTGATTTCAAAAGATAAATCTGAACACATGGAGAATAATAACATGACACAAACACATAAGATTTCAAGCGAATTGAACAACATGACCATGAGTGGCGAATCTAGAACTTCCAAAAATTGCAAACAAGGGTAAAACGGGTAAAACTGCATCTCGCTCACAGTATAAACCTGAGAAGTGGATGCTACTTGATGAAGGAGAAGATCGTATAAGTCAGCTAAATCTTGCTATTGTAAGTGTTAACATATTATTTTTTGACAAAATAATTTTCCATTGTGATGCGAAGTTGCTAACAAGTTCTATTTGACATTTGTAGGTTGGGCATGTGGATTCTGGAAAGTCAACACTTTCAGGAAGGCTGCTACACCCTTTTGGGACAAATATCTCAGACACAAATGCATAAATTTGAAAAGGAGGCTAAATTACAGGTATGATTTATGAAAGTAGAATGTTACTAAAATACACTAATAAGTGAAACCTATGTTGTGGTAAATTTGTTTTGAAAAAATCAGGGTAAAGGTTCGTTTGCTTATGCATGGGCATTAGATGAGAGTGTTGAAGAACGAGAAAGGGGATAACAATGACAGTTGGAGTTGCCTTTTTTTAACTCAAAGAAACACCATGTTGTGGTGTTGGATTCACCTGGGCATAAAGATTTTGTCCCAAACATGATATCAGGTGCAACACAAGCAGATACTGCAATTCTTGTTATTGATGCATCACTTGGTGCCTTTGAAGCAGGTATCGATAGTGCAGGAGGTCAAACACGGGAACATGCACAACTGATTAGAAGCATTGGTGTTGATCAAATCATTGTTTCTGTCAATAAAATGGATGTTGTTTAATACTCCAAGGAAAGGTTTGATAATATTAAACTTCAACTTGGGGTTTTTCTTCGTTTTTTGTAGTTTTAAAGATTCTAATCTCACGTGGGTCCCCATGAGTGCAATGGAAAATCAAAACTTGGTTTCACCTCCTTCTGATGCTCTATTCCTTTCTTGGTTAGTATTCTATTTTCATTTTTCATTTTTTTTCTATTACATGAATCTTCAAAAATTGGATTCGTCACCTTCTAAGAAAATGGGATGATCATCCTGCTCTTCAGAAAATTGTGGATGTGATTGATATGATCTTCTCTATACCTATGAACACCCCTCTTGCTAAGGTCATACACTTTTTTCTTCATTAAACTGATAATCAGGGTAATAAATAATATAATTTAACTTCTACATCTTCTCATATATGTGTACATTGTTTTTATTCTTTTGTAGGCTTTGTCAGCCTTGCAGTTCTTACTTAACAGGTTCCGGAACCATCAAGAAACTGTTTCAAAGTTCCCCCTTTCTGGTAAATATTTGATCTACTTCTTTTAGATTCACATAAAGAATCATATTTATAGCCTCAATTTCTATTCAAATTTCGCTAAGTTTTCTCAATTTTCTATTTTGCAATTTGCAGATCAGTTAGATCTGATTATTGGTCGTGTGCTCTAATTTTTAATACAACTTGGACGATTTTATTCGGACTTCCAACATTGGTGAATTCAGAAAGCGTGTTCAACTTGTCTCTGCTTTCCATGGCCACATCAGCACTGGCATTAGTCAGGGCTCAAATTTAAGGTTCTTCTCTCTTTATGTAAAATTGCTTTATTCTATTATTGTATGTGGTTTTGCCTTATGCATTCTTTTATTATACATAGCCGTGGCCATGAGGACAATGTGAGGATTTTGTACAATACATTCGGATTCCACATTCAGTTCCTGCCTATGTAAGTGATATTCTAACATATTATTATATTATTTAGTTATATATTATTTATTAAAGTAATGTGATGATTAAAGTAAAAGTGTGTATGTGGAGAGGATTGACAGGCATCGTATATGATACTACTAATGGTAAATCCAGTGACACATGCAGTAGGGAACTGTGTGAAGCGAGTGGTGGTCATTGTGTCCTCTGTTATCTTCTTCCAGACACTAGTGTCTCCGATCAACTCACTTGGTAAAATTTATAAATATGGATATTGCTTATAAAGTACAACTTGCATTTGCTACTGGCTACTATTTATCTTACCTTCAGCATATTTAATTTCAGGAACTAGTTTGGCACTTGCTGGAGTTTTCATGTATTCAAGAGTAAAGAGGATAAAGCCAACCCCAAAACCAAAGGCTGCTTGACTGATAAAATTGGGCTTGAAATCAAAAACCTAATTGCTGCCACCAACTTTCTTTTTCGAACAAAAGTTTGGTATTTGTTTTTCTTATTTATGTATTGCAGGGTGGTAAATCAGATGGCTCTGGTTTTTATATTGGAAATTTGAATCATATTCTCTCTTAAGGACCTTTTCGTCTTCTCACATTACCACATTATCTATCCCTAGGGCATTGTCAATTCCAGAGAGGTAACTTATATTTTAATATTTGAAACTGAAATCATATTCTTCTTTCTTACATAAATTCTGTTGAAAACAGGTATGCAAGTTTATGGGGGCTTCAAAGTTATCCTTTTTTCTAGAGTATTACTCCAAGCTAAATTTTAATATTTTATACAGGTATGGGCTGTATTGAATTGTTGCAATGACAATTGGTAAAAGGTATTTTACTATTTCACTCTTTCATATTAACTTTTATAATCTACATGTGTATTAAATTTTAATATATTATATAGGCATGGGATGTATTGAACCTTGGATTCTTGGAGAAAGGTATTTTACTACATGTGTATTAAGTTTTAATATTTTATAACAGAGATTGATGATGCTTGAAGCCTTTCTGCATACTAATGTGTTGATGATGAAAATAGGTATCATGTGGAAGCAAAAGCATAACAATAAGAAGTAGAAACAAGAAGGTGTTCCTTAATAGCAATGTAGTATTAGGTTATATAGTTAGGGAAAACCTCTTAATAACATTGTATTACAATTTTTTGACATGATGTTATTGGATGAAATTAATTGTTTTGGTATATATTTGTTTCCATACTTTTGTATTATGCGTAAATAAGTATCGTAAAGGCATGTCGTAAATGCATATCGTAAATGGTTATTGAAGTTTATGACACGCAAATGTGTGTCATCTTCATTTATGACATGGGCTTTAATGATACGCAATGCGTGTCCTAAACGCGCGTCATAAGATTACGACACGCAAATGCGTGTCGTCTTCCTTTATGACAAGGCCTTCCTTGATACGCATTGCATGTCGTAACTGCGTGTCGAAAATGCGTGTCGTAAATGCGCGTCGTAAATGCGCATCGTAAATAGACGACGCGCAAAAGCGCGTCGTCTCTCGTTATGACAGGGTCTTCCTTGACACGCATTTGCGCATCGTCTGAGCATTTTACGACACGCATTGCGCGTCGTAAAAGGCTGTTTTTTCTAGTAGTGTTTAGCCTTTTTTGTTATTATTACATTGCATATTCTATCCCTTATTTATCTTGGATCATATCGGGTGCTTTCTCTTTTGCATAAGGGGTTTTGTAGGTTTTTGGAGTCTCGTTGTGGTTGTGGATCTGCTTGTTACTGAGTTATTAGGATTTGTGGGATTTCGAGGAGTTATTGGGCTTTGCGGATCCACTTTAGAAGAATTGCGCTTGTTGTGTTGAAGACTTGAATGGGTCATGGACTATTGTAGATGGGTTTGGACTATCCATTTTCATGCTTGAAAATGATTGGTCCATTTTGAATTATGTGAGGTGTGAAGGTGACCAAGAGAATCTAAGTTAGTGGGGTGGAGTAGTGGAAGGATGAGCCAATAAAATTTCAGCAACATTTGCGAGGGTGAGGTCCCCACCCGTGCAATCTGTGCACCCCACTCATGCAAATACCTTTTCGATGCATTTTGGTCATTTGACCATCATTTACCTAGGGTTAGGTCTTGCAGCCCCTAGATCGATTTTGGACACCACTGGAGCAGTTTGAGGCGATTTTGGAGAGCTAAAGCATTCATCCTCTCATTCTTCTAATATTTGCTAATTTCGTTATGTTAAAACACTTTTATGATCATTGTCTTGTTTCCATGAGTGGCTAGTTACTTTATTTTTGTTGGCTTGGGCTACAACTCTTGGATATTTGTGAGTTTTGAAGTTTTCATGTTTAGTTATCATTTATATCAGGTTTATGATTCTTAGTTCATAATTCTTATGCTTATTTAATACTTTGATCATGAGCTTGGTACTTAATGAGCAATTGTTGGTCTCTTTCTTTTATTTAGCAATGAACAATTGACTTTTCTTAGAATAAGGGATTTATGATGGTAGAAATCATCTCTAGCTTATGGATCATGACTCCTTTATGGATGTGTAAGCATTGACATCCTATTAGAATTGGGAATTCCTTCATTCTTAAGGCTAATAGATTTTACTAAGCTCAATTGCTTCAATTGAATCCTTGATTTTGATTAAGAAGGTTTGTTGTGGGCTTCCTTAACCTCCATACTACCTTAGATGAATTTTGACATATCATGCTTCATGATTTCTATAACGAGTTTGGGTTGAATGATAAGCTTACATATCGAATCCTAGTGACAGTCAAACAAATATTAATTGTATTGAATTTCCATAGTTGACCAATTATATCTAATATTTGAGCATCTCACCATCTTGCTTGATTGCAACCATTTTAATTCTTCAAGTCTTTTAGTTTTCAAACAAATCACAACCCTACCCCCATTTTAGTTTAATTTTAGTAGGTTAGTTTTACACTACTTGTTCAATTGGATTGCATTGGTAATTGAATACAATCATTTCTCGTGGATCGGGCCCCTTTTTACTACTATATTATGTTTTATTTGCAAGCAAAAGGGTGTAATTTTTTTGGTGGCTTGACATCCCACCAAGCTGTCTAGAAAGATTGCATGTGGTGACCACTGTTTCTATAGTGGTTATGCCGTTCGTTTTGATGAGATTTGGCGCTAAATATTGCTTTAAGGTATGACTGCTTGTCTGCTGTCCCCTCCTCTTGACTTAAGTATCGTTCTAGTTGCTCCCAGAGTTCATGTCGAGTTTGGGGGCTCTATCCAGGAATAATTTATATAATTTTCCTGGTAGCAATCCCCACGTGAATGCCCAGTAACAATGCTTTCATCATTCCCTGGTGTATCTAGTGTTTCCTTGAAATATTCTATCACAGACTCCCTTCCTTCTGCTTACATCCAATGATGACATGTGTGTCTCCCCTGTATCATCGTAGTTGCATGAAATTTATAAGAAAATATCCTTTAATTGTGCGAAATTGCTTATGCTAATAGGTGCCAACATTTTGAACCATGTTTCCGCATTCCTATCTAGTGTTGTGGGAAAATATGTGCACCCAAAGTTTTCATCTAACTTAGTGAGATCATCTTCCACTCATAAGTGTCAATGTGGCTATCTAGATAAGTTGTTATGTTGTATGTTTTCAGTTTTGGTAGGTTAGACGTGTTTGATATCTCATAATTCAACATATATGTTGTAAAGATAGAATTCACACTCCGTCCTATCGTGGTTTGGGCGAAGTGTGGTTGTTGGAATGGTGTGTAAGGGAAGTTATGATGTGTGACATATGGGTTTTGGAAGTGTTGCAGCAATATGTAAGGATTTG